TGGAGTGAGATGAACAAGCACTCAGGGTGTGTATATTCCACGTGCTTAAGATGGGTTCTCAGTACTAGAGATTCCCAGTGATGTCACAACCTTCCAATTGAGCAAAACATAGTCTGATGTATGCCACAAAAGGCATGTTTCCCAGAAAGCAAAGGAAGAATTTAATCTTGAACGCAATTTTGTTTGAGACTTGCAAAAATATCTTCCCAGTAACAGCACCATGACCATCATATGGTCCTTGACCACCTGGGCAATAGCGATCATCACCTGCTGGATTTCACTACCCAACGCAGGGCGTCAAAGGCTCACACCAAGGCTAAAGCCCTTGACTTCAGAAGGCCAACTTCAATGAGCTTAGGAGACTAGTCGGGGAGGCACTAAGGACCCAGAAGATAGAGGAGATGGGAGCCCACGAGGGATGGTCGTACCTTAAGGGGGCAATCCTCCAGGCCCAAAGGATAACAGTCCCCAAGAGAAGCAAGGGGGGTAAGAGTGCTCAGAAACCCCCTTGGCTCAGCAAGGGCATTCAGCAATGCCTGAGGACTAAAAGGGGGGCGTACAACCAGTGGAAGGGAGGAACTATCACCAAGGAGGAGTACTCCTCCTTGGCCTATGAGTGTAGGAGGGCTATTAGGAAGGTCAAGGCAGAGATGGAACTCAGGCTAGCGTCCAGGATTAAGAACAACAAAAAGTCCTTTTTCAAGTACATTGGGAGCAAGAAGAGGGCACCAGGCAATGTAGGGCCCCTGCAAAACACAAACAGTAATCTGGTGGCCACGCCAGACAAGCAAGCTGGTATTTTTAAGTTCCTTTGCCTCTGTTTTCCTGAACAGGGACCAGGATATCCCACCTACCAGAGGTAGGGACAATCTTGGGGATAGCTCTATCAAGCCTTTAGTCAGTGCAGATGTAGTGCGGGATCTTCTGGAAGGGCTATACATTTTTAAATCTGCAGGTCCAGGTGCCCTCCACCGAAGGGTGTCGAGGGAGTTGGCAGGGGTTATCGCAGAGCCTTTGGCCCCGGCTGTATGAGCATTCATGGTCATCTGGCCAGGTGCTGGGGGATTGGAAACTGGCTACTGTGGTCCCTATTTTTAAGAAGGGAAGGAAGGAGGACCCAAGTAATTATAGGCCTGTAAGCCCCACCTTGGGGCTTAGGAAGCTCTTGGAGAGAATCATCAAGGAGCATATCTGTGGGGGGCCTGCAGGGGAGATCATGCTCAGGGGCAATCAGCATGGGTTCACCAAAGGCAGGTCCTGCCAGACCAACCTGATTGCCTTTTATGACCAAGTAACTAAATCCTTGGGCGATGGTGTTGCTGTGGACATAGTCTTTCTAGACTTTAAGAAGGCCTTTGACACTGTCTCACCCCATCCTCATCAATAAATTAAGAGACTGTGGCATTGATGCCAACACAGTTGGATAGGTAAAAAATTGGCTGACAGGGCGCACCCAGAGAGTAGTGGTGGATGGGTTGTATTCAACCTGGTGAGATGTGAGCAGTGGGGTACCCCAGGGCTCAGTTCTCGGGTCCACACTGTTTAACAACTTCATCAGCGACTTGGACGAGGGGGTGGAAAGCACGCTTCCAAGTTTGCTGATGACACTAAGATGTGGGGTGAGGTGGACACACTTGAAGGGAGAGAGAGGCTGCAACTAGATTTAGGCAGACTACAAAAGTGGGCAGATGAGAATAGCGTAGACAAATGCAGGGTGCTGCACCTTGGGAGAAGGAATCCACAGCATACATACATGGGAGTTCCCTTCTTGAAAGCACAGAGGCGGAAAAGGATCTTGGAGTCATTATTGACTCCAAGATGAACATGAGCCGCCAATGCCAGACCGCAGCCAGCAAGGCCAGCCATACCTTGTCATGCATCCAAGGTGCATCTCAAGTCAGTCCAGAGAGGTGATACTCCCCCTCTATGCGACTTTGGTCAGGCTGCAGTTGGAGTACTGCGTCCAGTACTGGGCACCGCACTTCAAAAGGGATGTGGCCAGCCTGGAGAGGGTTCAGAGGAGGGCCACCTGCTTGGTGAGAGGGCAGCAGGACAGGCCCTGTGAGGAGAGACTGAAGGACCTGAACCTGTTCAGCCTCAGCAAGAGGAGGCTGAGAGGGGAACCTGGTGGCTGCCTACAGGCTCATCAAGCGGGGATCAACAGCAAATAGGTAGAGCTCTTTTCTCCCCAGCACCACCTGAGGTGACGAGGAACAATGGTCATAAGCTGATGGAGAATAGGTTTAGGTTGGAGATCAGAAGGCAATATTTTAGTTAGGTTGGCCAAAATCTGGAACCAACTTCCCAGGGAAGTGGTCCTTGCCCCTACCTTGGGCAAATTCAAGAGGAGGTTGGATTCATTCCTGCCTGTGGCAAGGGGTCAGGCTAGATGATCTGTTCAGGTCCCTCCTGACCCTAGCTACTATGAAACTATGAAATCTAGAACAAATACCAAAAACATGTGTCTGGGTAATCTCAGCTAGAACAGAGTCAGCCACAAGGTAGCTTAAATGCATCTCAAGTCCCATTAATCAGGATATGGAATTGCTTACCTTCATAGAATATATTGTCCCTGGATGTATTCCACTGTGGAGGTAGGGTTGGTATTATTTGAACAGTCAAATAATGTCAGACAACCACAGTCAAATATCAAGAATTGCCTTGTGTAGGCGGCAGCTTATCCTTTTTATTGCATTATGGTAATACATGAGCAAGGATAGAAGTTAGGGCTCTTTGCTCCAACCCCCACAACACCACCACTCTGGAGAAATGCTAGATTTGCATTAGATTAGCAAATCTAATGTTCTTAGATACATGATAAAGCATCCTTAGTTCCTGGTTGCTGCTTAAGTCCAGATCACAGTTTGCAACGATATGAAACTTGTCAATGCCTGCATCCAGTGGGCTGTTCAAACAGATACCTGGAAGTCTAGAGTGCATTGTCTTTTTGACACGCCCTGTGGCAGATGCCAACTATCATGTTACCCAGAAATGAGACCATGCTGAACCTTTGATTTTTGGGACTCCCAGACCTTTTAAGGAGGCAGAGACACAAACTTCTGTCCCATCTTAGAAGAGGGAAATATGGTGATAAACTGCTTGTTAGGAGAGATTTACTAGCCTAATACCACAGAGAATCCAGCTAAATTCTGTGTGGCAAGGCACTTAACGTCTTAAAGAAGAGATCAAATTATCTAGTTTTTCCTCATTAAAAAAAGAATCTAATGTGTTGCATATTTAACATGAGATGAACAGATCTTTATGAGGGAGCAAATTTTTAAACCAAGATTCTGGAAGCCATCATTTCTACTTCCCAAAACATAACAACTGGTGGAAGCAAAAGGATGCAGAAGCAAGTGAAATGATGCCCTGTTTTAAAGTTTTCCTGGGGCTTCTCTCAGGAAAAATAAATAAATAAAACAAAAAATAAGGCTGCTTACAGATGTAGTCCCCCCACCCCGCAAAGCGTGCTTACAGCTGCATGCCCCTGTGCCAAGCCCAGTTCATGCTCAAAAGAGGCAGCATGTTAGTCGGACCCAGCTCACCCAACATCTATATAGATCAGGCGCTCAAGCAGCTATTAGATAAAAGCATCAAAAGCCCTGTTGAAGCACTTGATCTATATAGACGTTGCAGAACTGGGTTGAACTAATGTGCTGTTTCTTTCAGTAAAGTGTTTTTCCCCCCATTTCTGCCAGCACTCTAATCGATTGTAGGCACTGATGTGCCTAGCTGGCAGGGGGCTCCTCTGACTTCTAATTATTTTTGAGTGTTAACTAGGAGTTCCAGTTGGCTGAATACTGAGGCTTGGTCTTCAATACCATGTTCTGCCAATATGCCTAGATCAGGTAAGGTGTGGCAAGATCACATTCCCAAGCCCATGTAGTTCTGTTGGCAACCCACCATTCCTAGTCTGGAGAAAGCTGTGCTAACAGAAGCAAGCTTCTGGGGCTTGGTTGCTGCTGCTCAGGAAGGTGGTGTAATGGAGCCAGCAGAAAGAGGCCTTCCATTGCTATTCCACTCTGTTTTCTCACTAGGACAGTATTAAAAGCACTGGAACAGGTTAACCCAGAGAGACTGTGGAATCTCCATCCTTAGAGGTTTTTAAGACCCAGCTAGACAATGCCTTGGCTCGGATGCTATAGTTAGGGATGGTTCTGTTTTGAGCAGGGGGTGGATTAGATGACCGCCTCAGGTCCCTTCCAACTGTAATCGCCTATGATTCTGTATGTTGTATTGAAAACTGCCAAAGGTAGCATTTTAAGATATACAAGCACCGACAGAGCTGACTCAGGAGGGAAGAGCTGTGCCTCTGGAGAAGCTGATAGTGAGAAAGTGACAAGTTACAGTGTTTTTTAGTCAGTAAATGGGCAGGTCAAAATCTGAAGAGCTTGCTGGTTAGCTTTTAAGGATGGCAAAACACGCTTAAGGCAAAAAAGGTAAACTAAAGTTAGTTAAACGTATTTAGAATTCAATAAGTTATTTAAAAAACAAAACATTTCTAAATCAAAAGCCGAAACTTTTGGGAAAACAGTACTTATTCAACCTAAGGTAACTGAACAGAAATATTAAAAAAAAAAAAATCCACAAGCTTTCTTGGAAAAAAAACTTTTTACATACAATTTTCAGTTTTGTGTAGCAGCCCCAGCATCTTACATTGGATTAAGTACAGCAACTTTAATTGAAGAGCCTTCTTAAAAGCAAGTATTAAACTTTAACTAATTTCTGACAGCAACAAAAACCTGGGTAAACATTATCCTAAGAATAATTTTGCTATTTAAAAGGAAAAAAAAAAACCACACACAAAAAACAAGCCATTCGTGGATTCTAAAGGGATTTACAAAGAATGTTTTTACACAATGACAGCCATTTTATTTACACTATTTCTTTAGAGTTTTAATCAAAATGCCTCCAACATGCAATTTTCCACCTAACTGCAATCTGCAAGAGACTTTCATTTTTCAACAAATGCTGTAGTTTAGCACTCTTCTGCTAAACCCCTCCCCCCCCCCAAAATAAAAAAAAAAAAATACAGAAGTGGTTATTTTCTGAAACTTAAGATGATTCCCAGTTGAGCCACTGGGTGATGGTCAAGAATAAAAAAGAAGAAATACGTTACACAGGATATGATTTCAAGTAGTATTTGCAGGGATGCAGTCAGATGCTTTGGATGTGTAGGCTTTTAACACATTTACATTTTTTTTCTTTTTCCTCATTTGAGCAAAAAGTTATTTACACACTCATACAAAGATCTGTAAACCAAACTACTGAAGGGCTGTGCGAGTACATTTTCACTTTTCAACCTGAGTGACATGCAAAGAGTAAACAGGCAGCACACTGTGAAGAGTATGAGATTTTTAAAATTCTGTTTTAGTAATCAACGTTGTTATTAGCTTCAGAGACAAAGAAACAGAATCTTTATTTTGTTAGTGTCCTCTTAAAATGTATGAATTGTGCTGCTTTTATTAACTGGATTAACATATATTTAGTAAATCGCGCTCAACAGTGCTTCATTTTGTTGTCCATGTTTGGCTGCCACGTTTTGCAAACGCAGATACATCAAGTCTCTTGCCACTGCTGCACTGTTCATATAAAGTCTGAAATTTAAGAAGGAAAGAGTAGAAATAACTGTTCCAAAAATAATTTCCAACTAAAATCTTTGCAACAAAACAGTGTGTAGAGCTCTACCCTTTAATGCTTATTTATAGTGCCATTATACACCAAAATCTGGCCTCCAGAGAAAAGGGAATATAGAGAAATTAACAGGATACCCAAGGAAAGTAGTTTTAAATATATTTAGAACCAATGTGATAACCCTGGAAGGAAATATTTAAAATTAAAGGAAATTCTAAATTGAATTAAAAATTTCTATATAAAATCAGGAACATTCAGAAGAAGGCAAGCAGATGCATACAGCTGGTAGACAATGTAGCAGAGTAACAGTCTAGAAGACAATGCTAATCATCTTCTGTGATGTGGACCACCACATGGAAAAGCAAGCATTTTAACTATCTGCTCATGAAAACAGGCTTCCCAGGAGGCACTGGAGAATGTTGGGTCACTAGCACAGTCATGTCACAAGAAGACAGTGAAGTGAAAGCTACTACATAGCTACCACTTAAAATGAATAGATGACCAGACCCAAGAATGGAAGATGCATCTATGGAGAAGCAAACATAGAACAAATTAAAGTGATGGGATATAGGTAACCTTTTCCACCTGAAGGAGAGCCACCAGACACTCAGACATGCCCTCTTCAAATTCAGCAAGCCACTATGTGGTAAAATGTGATAGTAATCCAGTACTGCCCTTTTTGAACTACTGCTCAACAACATTTTACATCTTCCTGGCATAAGATTTCACAAACAGGTAAATCTCAAGTATTTAGATTTGAGAGATCCTGCCAAATCAGTCTTTGGATTGGAAAGTAGGCCATAGTCATGATCCATTTTATGGGGTTTGAGGTGGTTTTTAAGAAGGGTAAGTGATAATTTCCAGATTCACTCAATCCCAGCATCTTCCTGGGAAGAGAATGAATAAAGTAAACCAACCAAGGGATTGTGATCATGGAAGGACAGAGGGAGCCCTGTTCTGATTGAGGATTTCTGTTCAATGGGTATTTTTAAAGCTTTTTAGCATGTGGGAGATAAACCAAACCCTCCCCCAATTGGGAAGAAATCTGTGAAGATGAGGGAACAGATGAACCCAGCAAGCTACTTTGTATCCACCAATTTCATTCTCTTAGGCTATCTTCAATTTTGGGTGGGGATTGGAAAAATCATTACACTTCAAATGCCTAATAAAAAGAAGTTGCAGGACAATATAAAAAGGGAGACTGTCACAGAGCAAAACATTTTCACAAGAGGAAGAGTGAAAGGATTCTTTGGGGGGGGGGGCAGGGAGGGAGTTCAAAATCATGAGTTGTGGTAATAACACTGTTTTGGAAAGGAAGGTTACCCCATACCCCAAAATGGGTAGGTCTTCTCTACCTCGATCCATAGGCCTTTTTGGAGATGCTTGTGAAGAGTTAGAAGGGGATATCAAAGGGATTTTTTTTATTTATTTATTTTACTGGGAGGAGGGGGAGGAAGGAAGGCTGAATGATGATGAGGCATACTACAACTGTTCAGTAAAAAAGGGACACCCCACCTCTGCAAGTTAGACACACTGGATGCCAAAGCCTAAAACTGCAGGAAGAGCCAGGCATTAGAAGCATCTTTTGGCTGCCTCCCCCAGCTTTTTCTAAAATGTTGTGCTGTAGCTCTTCAGAGGCTTAGGAGACACTACATCAGAAGTTTGCTATCTGCTTCTAACCATTGACAGGGTTAACAGAGGAAGCCTGCCAGCATACCAGAAAGAGAAAATGCAGCAGATCCCCAAATCCTGCACTTGAATTGGCTGCTGACTGACCAGTGAAAACTTGTTAATTTGTCCATATTGGTAGTATCCCTATCAAGGAAAGAACAAAAGGTAGGGAAACAAACACACACTTCCTCGGACTTGCACAGCTGATCCACTTTGTGAACATCTAAGATGTTGCTTGGGTTGTTATTTCCAAAGATCAGTCCTCTCCCCCGCGTCTGGGGTTTCAGAGACCAGATCCTGCGAGTAAAGGACCCCAGGTGCCACAACTTGACTTGAGGCCTGTGTCTGCAAGCAGGAAAATCTCTGCTTGTAGACATGCCTCCATATCAGGGTGCAAGGGAATCCCCTGGCACAGGATTCAAGCGCAAAGTAGGGAGCTCACCTAGGGGTTCCTCCCCCCACTCTCCACTTGCATGAGGTGCCACAACCCCAAGGCAGCAGTGAGAAAGGTGCACTGAGTGACAATATGCTTATCATGGTGCTGTCCCCAAGTCAAGGACCATATGCAAATAGAGAGGGGAACCCCTGGGGGAGCTCCCCAATCCATGCATAGAAGACCCACACTGGGGGGAATTAAGTCATCCTATGCCTGTCTGCAAAATGCAGAGGGCTCTGTGTCTGCCCCCCTCCACTTGCATACCAGTGGGGGAACCAATTCCCCTGCGCAAGGCTGCAAGCTGAAGGGTGCTCCCCTAGCAGTTTCCCCCTGCACTTTCACATGGCCCCTGACCTGGGAGCAGCAGCTCAAAAGAAACGCTAACACCCTGCATGCATCCCACCACACTGGGGGACTCTCCACTTACAGGAGCACATCCCAAGTCCACGCAGGGCACTTTTCCCCCCAGGATCAGGCCCCTATAGCTAGGTGAGTCTGGCCTGGGGTGGTGGGAGAGTCATCTACTATGAGTGAACAGACCATCGACTGCAAAAAAGTGGAACAAACTGTTACTACCTTTGGTGGGGTCACAAAAATTTAAGCATTTGTAGTACAAGAAAGGGATGACATCCATGTACTCAGCTTTTGTGCCACCATAAATATTTTTATGGAAGCACAAAGTCAAGGTCTATTTGCAGCCTAGCAGAGGAGGAGGGAAAACAAGCAACAAGACCAGTGCCACCCCTTTAATCCCTATTCTACTCTACAGAATCAAGAGATAATAGCTTTAAGCTAGCAAGTTTTATGACAATTATGCACCTCCTTTGATAAAGACGTGAAGCTTAGAATGAAACGTTTTCATACTTTAGATTTCAATTGTTCAAACTGCTTATATATTTTACTAAACCTGCAAAATATTAAATGGTACAGTATTATAATATTACATTAACACAAAGCCAAGTACTCACTCTAGCAGCTCTTGAAATAGAGTTGGGAGAATTTAGGTTAACAAGTTGGCCAAGAATGAGCTTCATCTCTTCTGTTGTTCCTTTTGCATTTGGACCACCTACAGTTCATTCAGACACACAGTGACGTTGAAATATTTAAGTCGTTTACAAAATACAAAAACTTTGTTTTAAAAGTAGGAATTTCAGAATTACAAGTTACTTTAGCTCTTGCTGAAACAAACAGATATGCATACATTCAAAGCATGAGTCCAATTCATAGAAAATGTGCAAAACTTACAAAAACATAAAATAAAACCTTTTGCTAAAGCAATGTAATTTTAAAATAAATTTAAAGAAGTTACCTGTCTCTGAATGGGCTTGAATGTTGACATATGGATGCATCAACAATTCGGAAACAGATGCTCTTTTTTTGGGGTCCCTTATCAAACAGCACTATGAAGAAAGAGAGGGGGTGATTTTTGGGTAAGGAGTAGAGTGAAGTTTTAGCTTTGCTTTCCGCTGCCAAATTTTCATGCCTGGCATTCTAAATAATTAAAATAAATACTATGTTATGTATAAATCTAAGTTATGAAAGCTGTTGATATAGTATACCAACTTAGCTGGGTTCAAAAAAACTGAACCAAGCCATAGCCCCATGATATCTCTTTCAAATTTAGAAATCTTTTAGGGACTTTTCTGGCAAGGAAAGCTAAACTACCTTGTACTGCACACTTTTGCAGCCATCAGGGCAGAAGAGCAGGCCCAAACTTCAATTCGTAAATGCCAAGCACTTTGTTTAAAATGTACTTAGCAGTCATGCTACAAGATTAACACAATACCATGGACAACTCACTGTCAATAATAAAGGACAACTGTAATAATCCTACTGGATTAGTGAGCTAGGAACATCAGGAAATACAGTCTTGAGGGATCTGTGTGTACGTTATGAACTGCGCTTGTTAGCATACTAAGACAGGACACCACCACATAACTATCACTTTACCCTTACCAAGGCTGGGGAGAGAACACATGACCGTTGTAGGAGGTAATTTTACACCTTTTCAAAAGACAAAAACGCAAATTTAAGATATGTTAGCAAATTTAAGATATGTTAGCAAACTGGAGCAAACTGCTTAGCCCATACTCAACAATGAACCAGCTTCAGGAAAAAACCCTCTCTCGCTCTGAAAATTCCACCCAAGACATTGCCTTCACTAACCTGGTAAACTAGTCATATATTCCAGATTGCTAACACACTACTGTGAAATGAACCTCTGAACACTTTTAATAGCCTACAGAACTAAATATTGAAAGACAATGCACTCACAGGAAACCCATCCTGTCCTCATGCTAGGAGAGCAGGACCACAACATGTCTCAGCACTTTCTACTACCAAGGTTCATCAAATGTCCAGTCCAGGAGCCTGCAACAGATCCCTACCATTCTCACTACAGCTAGCAGACCCAGTACTTAGTTCCCACGCATATGCTAGCATGCAGCTTCCTGCAAATGGTAGCCAGATGCATGGCTCTGCACACTTGAGACCCTGTCCATGTGCATCTACCTGACCAGTGTCATGACTGGCTGCCAACAGGACCAATGAGAATGAGACTATACAAGATGCCATGAGGCCTGTGGTGCTCTGGAAACATCTACCATGTATTGGCACTTTTGGGGCCTTTTCGCAAGGCAAAACATGGAAGGTTGGAACGCATTGTCCTCAGGACCCAGGACAACCAGCGGTGGCCACAGAATTTCTGCACGCATCAGGACACTTTCATGGAGACACTTGCCAAGCTGGCTCCATGCACTGAGTGACAAGACACTGACATAAAGGGTGCCCCTGACTCCTGAGAAGTGCATCACCACTACCATCTGGAAGCTGGCAATTCCCAACCAGTTTGGCTTGGGCAAGTCCACAGTTGTCGAGGCAGCGTGGAAAGTATGCTGGGCCATCCAAGAGGTTCTGGTTATGTGCATTATCCACTTAACAAGCTCACTGCAGGTCCCCGAGGCTCACCACCACAGCAAACGGTGCACAAACCGCAAGTGAATCATGGTTAGGGAGGCCATGGAAGACCTAGAGAGACTTCCTGGCCCACATGCAGTAGGTTTGACATCCCTGATTTAGACCAATTTAACTATGCCAGCAAAACCCCTGGGTTTGGGCACAGTCATGTGACAATAAAAAGGAAATTTGTTAGAGAGGTGAACTCACTAAGCCAGTGGGAAGCTTCATAATATAAACGCGCCCTTTTGCATGTGAGGAAAGACATCTACACCCTCATCTGCAGAAATGTGAAGGAATCCACTCATCATGGTAATATGTTAAGCTGAATAAGAACACCCAAGGGAAATGAATACAACATGAAACTATTTCACTCCATGCATCTCAGTAGGCGTTATCACCCCTCCAAGGCATGCACTTGTGATTCTATGTGATGCATGATGTCCATTATCTACTCCTATGCACTGTGTCTACATGCCAAACAACTAGGCACCTACTTAATTCACAGTTCTGTGGATTTTGTTAAATCTGGGACTGTCCACAAAAATCAACAAAGAAAATTAACTTAAAAAATGCTGGCTCCCCAGTGGGAGTTAGTGATCCTCACAGCTAGGGGAGGAAGGCGTGAGCTGGTGGGACAGCACAAAGGGCAGCAGAAAAGACGGCAGCTGCCCCTCGTTCCTCTTCCTCCCTAGGGCCTTTTCACCAATCGGCTCTAGGAGACGGGGCACGTGACGGGCAGCCAGCTATCAAGATGGCAGCTGCCCCCTCGTTCTTCCTCCTCTTCCCTGGGTGTCTCTGCCAATCAGTGCTGAGGAGGGGGGCTGCTGCAAAGTGCCACCAAAATCAGTTCTGTGCACTGCAAAAAAGCCTCTTTCTTGCCACAATTTAAGTAGGTCCATGGACATTACTGTTCTCAATTCTTCACTGAAAAAGATAGCAATTCCCAGAGGACATCTTGCATCAGACAGAATCCAGGGAGAGAAGCTCAAACCCACATCAGAAGGGCAGAGCACCAAAGATCTTTGCTTGTACCTGGCAGACGAGATTAGAAGCAGTGGGCCCTTTTACTCCCCTCATTATCACTGCCATACTTGTTCCCTTTTCTTACAAAGCATCACCTATCCCCAGATTTTGAACTCCTCTGCCCCACTCTTTC